AGCTATGCAAAATTATTTGTCAGCTCTTTGGAATACCTTTCCTTTTCTGGACAATAAAAACACCATTTCTTCAGCAATTTCTACTTTTCTATCTAAACAGCAGCATGGATTCTGTTAGTCACCTATATTTGTTACTCTCTTGTTAGAAAAGCAGGTGGGCCTATGATTGCAATCAACTCCTATCTACAAGTGTGTGGTTCCAGAAAGAAGTAATTCTGCTTTTTAATTTGTCCTCCCTGGCTATTAAAATAACTGTGTGTGTTTTTTAAAAATCTTTTCAACATTTGTCAATATGTGACCATACTAATGCAATCCTTTGTGGTCAACAGGAATTTATTAGAGCATCTTGATGTCAAACCAACTTTTTTTATACCTCATGTGACAAGAAGTGAAGACTTCTTAGTTTATAGAAGCCAAAAAATGCTCATAGATTATACAGATTAGAGGCAAATTTTTATACTCTATCACACAAGACTTTAAAAGACTTGGGTGCAAACTAACATAAAGGCAATGCCATTTGCTGGACCTATAATGTTTCTGCTCAGAGTGCAACGTTAGACTATAGGAGCTGCAAATGCCTGCTAAACCATCAGTGAAAACCTTAACCAGGGACTGTTATGCATACAGCTTGAAAAGCAATTTAACTTAATACCTCCAGTTCAGGTTTCAGCCTTGAGAACTCTGCATATTCTTTTATTTTTGCCTAACGATGTTGTACAGCATTTGATACTTTTTGGGATGATTATAGTGTTAACTCTCCCATCTTGGCCAACTGCAAATTAAATTCTCTCCAGCTCAGTTTCCCCTGTGGTCCCAACTGGATGAAATAGTTGCACAGCTGAGTAAGGCCAGGGGCTGCCTGCATCCAGGAATTCAAAACTGCTTTGGCAATTTCGGCCTTCGTGGGTGTCTCTGAAGAGGACAGGAAAGCAGGGTATTGGAGTGGAGAGTGTGGGACCACAACAGGCATAGTGGTGACAAGGTCTGCTAGAGCCCATGAGGTGCCAGGCTCACTCCTAACATGGAAAGGCACTTCAAAATGATGGCACTTTAGAGCAGAACCCTTCCTCATTTCCTCATTTTGTAACAACAACCTGGAGACTACAGCTGTCTGCACACTGGTGTGAGCTCCCGGGGTCATCTCTGGTTCCACCTGTCCCTAGGGCAGTTGTTGTGGTTTAAGCCCAGCCGGTAACAAAGCACCATGAAGCCACTCACTCACTCCTTCCCCTGGCCCCGCTGGGATGAGGAGGAGAAAATATTATAAAGAAAGGTTCGTGGGTCGAGTCAAGGACAGGGAGGGATCACTCACCACTTATGGTCACAGGCAGAAGACAGGCTCAACTTGGGAAAGAAACAAAATCAGTTCGATTTACTATAAATCAAATCAAACCAAGGATACTGAGAAGTAAACCCAAACCACAGAACACCTTCCCCCACCTCTCCCACCCCTCCCGGGCTCAACCCCACTCCTGGTTTTCTCTCCCTCCTCCCCCCGGTGGCGCAGGCAGACGGGGAATGGGGGTTGGGGTCAGTTCCTCACCCCTTGTCTCTGCCGCTCCTTCCTCCTCAGGGGGAGGACTCCTCACTCGGCCCCTGCTCCACCGGGGGGTCCCTCCCACGGGAGACAGTCCTTCACGAACTTCTCCAGCGTGGGTCCTTTCCGTGGGCTGCAGTCCTTCAGGCACAGCCTGCTCCAGCGCGGGCTTTCCCCCTGGAGTCCCGGCCATCTTGGGGGGCATCCATCCCCCTGTTCCGGCGTGGGCTCCTCTCTCCCCAGGCTGCAGGTGGGCATCTGCTCCCCCGCTCCCCTCCGTGGGCTGGGGGGGGACAGCCTGCCGTCTGGTCTCCCCACGGGCTGCAGGGGCATCCCCTCCTCCCCCGCTCCTCCTCCCCTCCTTCCTCACTCCCCTCGGGATCTGCACAGGGGTTCCTCTCCCATTCCGATCCCCTCACTCACTGCAGGTTTTTTCCCCTTCTGAACTCTCTTCTCCCAGAGGCGCTACCACTGTCACTGATGGGCTCGGCCTGGGCCAGCGGCGGGTCCGACTCGGAGCCGGGGAAGCTTCTGGCAGCTTCTCACAGGAGCCGGCCCTGCAGCCCCTGACCCGCTACCAAAACCCCGCCACGCAAACCCAAGACAGCAGTTCAATTTTGGGTGCTGAAATGCCCCAGGGCTGAAGCTGAATGCGGACATTCACATACCCAGCCTTTGGCACCAGTTACAGTCATGCTGGCCCTACAAATCTTGAAATCTTTTCTGACCTTTGCCAGAGCACCCAAATGAGTGAAAAGAGCACTGGCACAACTCCCTGAGGACATGGGGTGGTGGGGAAAATACTGTAGCTCTGGTCTTCCTCAGGCCAAGAGATGTTGAGACCGTATCTCCTACTTCCCGTTCTGCTGACTGAGCTTTGCTGCCCTGAAGTAGGGCATCACCCTCCAACCCATTGTCCGTCCATGCTTCAAAGCACCAATGAGCCCCAGCCCACCTTTCGGAGGGAGTCTCTGGAGGGTCCAGGATGTATCTACCAGGTCCTGGATACTTTACAAACAACTCAAGTGGGTTTTAGGACCTACCTCTCTCTGAAACCCTTCGTACTATGGTGATGCCTGTCTCAGTCCATGGTGGTGGGACTGGGATTTGAGGGGCTCGTTTACTGCAGGGGCTTTGTGGGGAGCCCGGCAGCTCCAACCAGCAGCTCCGTCTGCCACTGCACAGCCAGAGGACTGACAGCAACTTCTGCCCTTAAACATCTGCATCCTCCGGAGTATCTCTGGGCCAAGCCGGCAAACAGGTTGAAATGGTTCTGGTTTGAATTAGTCACGCAGGGAACACAAACAGAGGCATCAAAACGTCCTTCGAAAACTGAGTTCCCACACAAGATGAAAGGGAGACGGAATGGCTGTGAAATAGCTTGTACAAGCATAACTAATGAAGTTTTGACATTACAAATAAGACCCAGGAACAAGTCATTATTTTTCAGGGTAGCGCCTAGTCTTCATGTTTACTTGTGGCCATGCAAACTGTCCCTCAGTGGAAGAGCACGCTCCGGCAGAGGTGGGAGGGAGATCCGTCTCGGATGTCCAATACAGAATTACCAAGAACCTCTCTCTCAACAGCAACATCTCCTTCCAGCCCACCAGTAACAGACCCCAGCCTCGCCACCGGCATTTGCCCACCAAATGCTGGTCCTCAAAAGGAGAACGTAGCTTGAAGGTGGACGTCAGTGGTCCTCCGTTAGCAGTTTATCAGGCTGAATACAAATAGGGAAATTCTTTGGGTCCAGGAGAATGGAGGAAACCCAAGATTCACGTCAGTCTGAAAAGTGATGAGGGACTCCTTGTTAGGAAAATAACAGACCAGGCAGTCCAGGGTAGGGCTGCAGATCTGGGACTGAAAGAGGAGAGGTAGGAGAAATACTCACCATGCCGACAGGGAAATTGGTCACCGCACGGAAATCAAATCTTCCCTGGAATCTATCAGATGTGGTCATGCCTGACTGGAGCTGATGTTTCTAATTCTTTTTTTTTGTATTAGATTATCGCTGCTTTTCCTTCTCTGGACTTGCTCTGTGTTTTGTTTTACTTGTGTGACTTTTGCCATTACGCAAACAACTTTTTTTTTTTGTCTTGTGCTTAGCAAATTTTGCAACACGCTTCATTGGGACCAGAGGATTCCAAACTGATAAGACAGGCTAGAACATGAAAATGAGGACAAGAGAAGGCCCACCGTGTTCACTTCAAGCCCTGTCATCAGAGCCACTCTGCTAAAAAGTTTCCTAGAACTGCAGGGTAGGACCAAACTGGCTTCCATATTTATAAAGGAAAAGCCTTTACAGAGCAGGTGCCAAGATCTTGACCCTATTAACTGGTTTTCTATTGCCTTTCTGGGCGTGGTTGAAACGTCTGCCATTAAAAGTGCTTTTTATTTGGAGCTGGTGGGGGAGAAGTCTTTTTCATTTTTAACGCTAAGCCAAAAATCCCAAACCTGCTCCTCGTCCCCTTCATTATCCAAACCTGAAATAGTTACCGCTCACTCCCCCAAAGTGAGTATATATATTCTATGCATGTTAAAACGCCTAAATAATCAGGGCAAAATTTTTAAGTACTAAAAATAGTTTTACAGGTATGCTATGTTCTACTGAAAGGAGAAAAAATGAGTATTACGCCAAGAAAATGCTTCAGAAGAGTTCGCAAAAGACTGCAGCAGGCTGGAGCCCCTCACATGTCCTACTCAATCATTTCTTCACTGTAGCATCACTCAGTGCTTTATTTTTCTGTCCCACTTCACTTTTTGTGTTCTCCATTATTTAAGTTAATGCTTCCTTACTAGCCCAATTCCTTCCACAAAAGTAAACACAAGAATAACTTTGTGCAACTAGCACATAATACTGGTGTTGCCAACTATAAAAAGTTACATACAGTCTACGCACATGAACAGAGCACTACTGGTGTGGAGGGAGGTCGCTATGACCAGAGGCACTGATACAGCTGGAAAAATAAGTTTTTGAAGGTGCAGGTCCCTCTCAGGTTTAACACATTACTACAACTTAGGTGGCATTTGCTACCGAGATATACTTCATGTGTTTGTTTGCAATACCTCTTCCCACCCCCTGGGTCTGTCCACACTCTCTGCCAGTGTTGTCCATGCAAGGCCTATTGCCACGGAGCCCGATTCTTGGCCAGAACTGTGGTATTGCACATTAATGAACATTATTAACAAGCAACAAATGGTGCAGGTGTTCATGGGTGAAAAGCTATTGCAATCCAACCAACCTGGCGGTGTGTTGTGTTGGAACAAGCACAAATCAATTCTAACACATTTTTTAGCTGCACGGAAAAAAAACACAAAGTTGTTTTCTTTCCATTGACTGCTTCTCACAGAAATCCTTCCATCAAGGACTTAAAACGACATGTGTAGCCTTTTTGTAAGCAGTTCCTGTTAACCAAGTTACAAACATAAAAGTGCAGAAAAAATTGAACAAGTGGACAGGACAGAAAAGTTGAATGAGCATTGGCTCTTCGTATTTTAATGAAGAAATATTTCAAGTTAATATCAGTGCATATTTAGAAACAGCATGTGATACTCCCAACGCCAAATACATCAGCAAATTACAGTTTCAAAACTTTATAAATTAATGGCAAGAAAAAAATAATTAAGATTAACATAGAGAATAAGGTTCAAAATAAACATCCTGTTTGTTTGTTGCACTGCGTCAATTATATTCCTGGCACTTAAACAGCAAGAGAGATCCAATATTTCGTGGTAATTAAGATCTCCAAAACAACAGTTATTTTTCTACAAATGAATTAAGCAGTTTGCATTTATTTTTGATGTATAATTAAATGTTATTCTTAGCTGTTACAAAGAAATATAGTCATGTCAGAGTAAAATTTCATTCCATGATTGAAAAATCACACTAACATAGCAACACTGCCTTCTGGTTATACCCACTGGAAACAGTCAGCTGAGAATAGGAAGAACTACATGTAAGCACATTTGGCTGTTACATAAAATGGCTTTTTTTTTCCTGGTTTCACAGCCTCATAACAATACTGTTTTTCAACATTGTTCCCAGTCATTGTTTTTAAAATGGTTCATCAACATATCCTGAATCAATCACCGATATAAATAACTCTGGTGACAAAATCCATTATGGAAGGACACAGAACTGCAAACTGAAAGTTGTATTGAATGATTTTAAGGTGGAACTGTAATTACTCTATAAAATTCTGTAAAAAAAACACCACACAGTAAAAGCAGTATCTTTAATTAACTGGCAATGGTGGAATCTGAAAAACTGACTTATAACCTTCAGAGACATTTAACTCACAATGGACTCTAATGCAAGACAAATCGTACTGAAGCTAGAGAGAGATGCACATTTAAAGCTTGCAAGTGTGATATAAAAATATTCTCCAGTTCTTTCATTTTGATACAGGGAGTCCAGTTCCCTAATGGAAGAAGATAAAATACATCTTCTTTCCTACCCCATCGCTGTACATACAGAGTATTCCCTTGATATCAAGAAATAGCATTTCCCCAACAAAAATACCAGCCATGGGAGTCGCAGACTTTGTGGTAGTAAGGGTTTGTTGATTTTGCTTTTTGAAGTATATTTTCAAGCAGGTGAAATACTGATAGGATATGCATTTCTTTCACTACTAGTCTATTGTGGAAATCGTGTACATCAACCCCGTAACTTCAATCCAACTGCAGTATGCATTGCCTAGAATGATTCGAGAATCTAGTGTGATGTTACAGCACGGAGGTGACTGCCAGATTATGAAACATCAGGCTAGATCAGATTAGTAGGAAAAGGCACATGCTTCGGATTTAGCAGGAACATCTGAAGGTTCCTCGTTACCATACCCTTACGCTCCTGAAGTTACAGTAATTCTGTGCATTACCCAAACGACAGAGTTTGCTTCCAGAAAATCGTGAGGTAACAGGGAACTTCTGCTTATGGCACATACACATGAAAGGTCTGTGAGCTCAGCTGAAACTCTCGAGGAGCTAGGGATAACGCAGACACAAGGTAGGCTACGCTCTGGTTAGGCCAGAAACAAAAACTTAACATTTCATTATACTGCATACATTCCTTTTATGCACAAATACAGGGTGCGCAAAATAAGCTGTTTGCTCAGTAAAATTTAATGTTTTGCATATGTAAAATAATCAGCTAATACTGCAATATAATCAAAAATCATGCACTAGATAAACAGAGCTTCTTCCCCATGAACCGTAGTTCTCAGGAACATTTTATTCTGCTTCAGGTGACATCTCATGATTTGCCAGCTTACATAGTCCCTTTTAAAGAACACAGTATTTAGCTAAAACTGAAAAGCAAAATCCAAAAAAAAAAAAAAAGAAAAAAGTTTTGATTTTAGTTGCGATACAGCTGGGATAGATGCAACTGAGCTGCTGCAATGCACCAAAGAGTAACGAAAATTCAACATGAATATCAGAAGAATAAATATATACCCTAAATTAATCTCTGTAAATACATTCACAGGTCCATTTAAGACACCCTTATGCATAACTCATACTTCATTGAATCTGCAGATAGAGATGGATGTTAGTTCATGGGGAAAGCAATTTATCATATGACTCGGTTTATCTGTCATTATTCCAGCAAAAATCAGTAGTAAATTTGAAAATCTACATTTATTTTCCCCAGACCAACCACACAGAGGCTTAAGTCACAAATTCTATTATTTCCAATGTTCGATCAATAAGGCTTTATTTACACTTGTTTACTATAAAGTCAGGAAAAAGTTTGGTGCAATGTGCAAGAAAAGACTGCACATTTCACTGATTGGAGACTAACATCTGCTTATGGTTTAATGCTAACCCACAGGCAGCCAATTAAAGTCCCATATATCCATGTTTTTACATAAAGTTTCCTTCCAGATTCTGTCAGAAGCATACTAGCAGTCAGGCCACCTAAAAACAGCAAAGATGGCAAAGTTTTCTTGAGGCTTAGTTTGGAATGAACACTTTTCCCAGGGAACTTATTTCTTCTTTTAGAATCCTTCGCATCATAAAACTCTATTAGTAACCTACAAGCAGACAAAAGAAGATGGTCAGTTATACAATAGCCTAAGAAGTTTTAAGCAACTTACTTTCATCCAATAACTGCTTCTAAACACACATGATTTAACAAATGGTTTCACAATATGTAGCAGCTCAACTGTAACAAGTTTAAGCAATCAGTATGCTGTAAGAAAATGATGCATTCAAAATAATGTTGCATGTCAGAGGACTCAACCTGAATCCTTGTAAGCAATAAAAGCAGATTTTCCTTGGGGACCAATTTTAACACTGAATATAAAAATTGAAAAGAATCTTTTTCATACAGCATTTAGCAGATAAGCCCAGAGTACTGGCCAATATCACAGGACAAAATAGCACACAGTTAATCATTGAACACCAAAGGAGGGGGAAAAAGTATCTTCATAAAATAAACTAATAAATAACGAGGGCTCACAAGACACTAAGTATTTTGGAAGCCAAACATGCAAGTGTAAAATGCTACACCACTGGTGTAGCAGTAACTTTGTTCCTCCTATTTTTCAAAACCATTAATAAATGGATTTGAATATTCTGGGCTTTTAAGTATCTCTATTGACCTGACAGACTGCTTTGGTCTCAGGAAAGATGTTCCAGTCAACAGGAGTCTACAATGAGACATAGATATCAGGGTTCAGTTGTGCTGGTCTTCACTAGAAGACTACTTAAGGGACACTGGACAGCCTTTTATTTTATGTATCAGTCTCTTGACTATAAAATGAAATTCAGACTTTCTTCCTCTCAAAAGTGAAGAAAATTACTTAGTGATCCTGAACTTCTAAGACACTTTAGTAACAGTGCCACGTTTACAGATAGTCATGTTAACTTCTACATGGATTCAAAGATCACAGAACAAATTAACATGTTTTACTTCCATAGAGTGTGAGACTGGCAGAATAATTTTAAAGCAGAACATACCTGAAGAACCAGGGAAATTTCTCTCTCACACAATGTATTCAAAGATTTAGAGAGTAAACAGATTCAGCCCCCTTAAACTGGACTTCAGACATGAAAAATTAAACCATCATTTCTCAAAGAATACTTAAATCCCACATCTAGGCACAAAGTCCTTCCGGAGCACAAGGGCCCGAGGATCTGTTGCATATGCTCACTAATGACCTTATCTGGAGATGCTGGCGGGTGCCAGGCACTTTAGTTCTGCCACGATTCAAAGATGGAGAGATGAAACTCCTACTTCACCTAATTTCCCAAGTGAAGGTAGGGATCTTGGGGTTACGTCTGTTTTTATCCAATCGCTGTCTGATGGAAGATACATAAACAATTTTGGCAGAAGAGATTAGATCAAGACCTGCCCCTTTCTAACTCTAACCTAACACTGATTATGAGGCTAGAATCAAACTGCTTTTTGCTGGCTTGCCTACCGCGGCCATCTTATAGTCCTGGCTGCGCATGACAGCTACAAGAAGATAAATGGAAGGTATTCAGATGAATATGAGTCTTGCCTGGAACATGGACGTGCAGCTCTTCAGTCTAAAGAAGGTCTAAACCCCAGGAATCCCAACCTCCTGAGCAAAAGGTTTAACCACAAGGTTATTATACAAAATATGCACAGGATTACTAACACCACCTCTCTTCAGAGAGCCCTACAGCTTGCACTGCTGGTAACACAGAAATCATGGGTATATCTGTTAATATAAAAGAAGTAAGACAGCTTCTTGAAACAGAAAGTTCTGCATAGTGCTACTCACTTATCCTTTATTTCAAAACGTTCATGAAGCCACCTTCTCATATACATCTGCTCTTCTGGAATGTCCTTCAGTTCAATTCGATCAATGAAAATATGAACTCTTGGGCATTCCTTGCAAAGAAACTCTGAAAAGAGAGCAAATCAACAGGACTGAGTTACAAAAACACTGTAGGGCATTTATTTGTCTAAAATACACCAAAAATCTGACCCTGTAGGTGTAAGTGCCTTGGAAGCCTAACTTCAGTTCTCAAAAGCCTCCCCTCTTCATGTTCGGATCCTGAGCACTTCACTGAACTTAGAAGCCATCTGGCCTACACACTTTTGAAATGTTGGCCCATTATCACGTGCAGCATGGAAAAACTGTCATAAAATGCACCCTGCTAACTGTAAAATGTTGTGCTTGAAAATGTTACAATTTTACCTCAGCAACAATCTACTCATTCTGTAGTGTGGGATGCAATAACTTCGATGTCATCAAATTATCCAGCCTGCAATTTTAATTAAGGTTAGTAATCCTCTTTGCTTGTCCTTTTTGAAATGTAAATTTTGTTTGCTCCTGGATGACAAAACCAGAATGACAGTGATTTCCCAAAGTATCTCCAGGAGGAAGTGGGCTTCAGTTTAAATGATAACCTATAATTAAAAAGTATAACAGGGCAAAAGACTCAGAACAAAATTCTGCTTTCCATTTTGCATCCCTTCATTTTTCTTCTGTCTTACAAAGCTCTAGACAGCCCTATTGCAATCCCCCTCCCCCATTTCCCCTATTTGTCCCTAGAAAAATTTAGCTAGCAAGCATTAATTACAGACAAAACTCCATTACTCAAAGACCCGTGTGGGATTTCTTACAACTAACAAGTGGTAAAAATACTGTACATGGAATGAAAAACCCACCAGTATTTGTGTATTAGTAATCATTTGCATTTATCAGTAGCAAAGGGTATTGCAGTAACCATAGCATCCCTGTACAGAGATGCATGATGTGAATGTGGAAGCCCTTAGAAATCTGGACAATCTTCATATTTGGAAAAGGGACTAGAAGTGCCTTCCTACAATACAGACAGGCAACAAATGTAACACAGACTGGGTGGTCCCTTCAGGTTGTTGACATTTTTTGGACAGCAGTGCAGATGTACATAAGACTTTGACCCATAACTGTTAAGGGTATCTTGAGGAATGACTGCGCAAAATAATTGTTACTGCACGTACAGCTTTATTATTATCTGCCAAAGCAGACATCCCTCTATTTGTTTTTCTTCTTTACAGGATTATTGATTTTTAAAGACTTTGTTGTAAAAGCAAGCCTTATCACATGCTAGAAATTGCCTTGAAGAATTTTAAAAGCCTGTTCATGCAAATGTGTTTGTGTGCTTGTAGAGGAGGAGTGAAGAAGAGATAAAGAGATCAGTAAAGTCTTATGGCATTTTGATGCAGAAATTTGTAAGTTGCTGTGTGCAGTTTTGTCTAGTCCTCGGGCAAAGAGACCCCTTCACTGAATGGCACTGTAGCGTAAAGGGAGCAACATGGCCCACACACCATCACTGAAGAAATGGCTGAGGGCTCTAACCAGAAACAAGTCCACCTTTTAGCCATGGAGTAGCAAATACAACTGTCGCTAAAAAGTTTGTGGTAAAACCGTCTCCCAGCTACAGCTATTAGATGGCAGGAGTTAAGTACTTGGAGTTCAGAATGATGGTATGTTCAGATGTTGTCTTCAGGTTTATGTGTAACGCTTTTACTACCCACAAAGAAATCAGTGTTCACGTATCTGAAAGCAGGTTTTTCCTCTTGCTTTTAATGGGAAGAAAGGATTTTCCAGGACTGTTTCTCTGAGGATACTATCCAGGCCACTATATGAAGGTCATTCACTATATGAGCACCTAAAAGCATACTATTAATATTTTAAAATGACAGATGTATTATCCATGTTTTAAATGCTTATAATATTCACTGATGTACAAATCCTCTTTTTGAGTGGCATTAAGTCGAACATTCTAAAAATATGCAAAACTGTATCTAGAAAACAAATGCTTGAAAGCCAGATGATATGGTCTTTTTTGTAGTAGACTCCTATAAAAAGCATCTATGCTATGCACATTCAGCTGGGGCTGAAGATCTAGCTTTAAGAGATGTTTGAAACATTCTGTGCATTGTATAGCATACGTTTCTTTTGCTTCACAGCACATAGGTTATTCTGTATAGGAACAGACAACTCTTTCCTGATGTTATTTCTAATCTCAGTTATAAATTATCAAGGAAAATTATAAACCAGGCAAACTTCTAAGTTAGATGAGATAGCATTATTAATAGTTATATGGTATTTTTAAAACTAATGTTATGCTACTTAAAAAAAATTGATATTTGGTCATTTAAAGACAGCAACAGAGTATATTATCAATAATAAGCTCTAGTTAACAAAACAGGAATAAGACCTAAGTATTTCAAAAGACACACCTTCTCCCACCAAAGCTGAAATGTAGCTACTCTACACATCTGCTTAGAAAGCAAAAAAACCTTCATAAATATCTGAGTGTTGCTGCTGGTTTTCTACCTTATGCCCAAGTTCCGATCCAAGTCGACTCTTACTACTTCCCACACCAGGCTTCTTCAACGAGTCTAAACCGAGTCCCCATACGTGAAGATTGTAAAACTTCATCTTAATTTCCCACCTTTGTAAATCCCAAGGCTCTTCTCCACTGCCTTCCTCTCCCTTGCAGTTTGAGACTTAGTACAGCCTCGCCGAAGGCTGTGTGATCTGCAACTGCAGGTGCTCCCCTAGAGAGGGTCATGATTCCTGCTGTTTTGGGTTTGTGTGTTGGGGTTTTGGTAGCGGGGCAGGGGCTGCAGGGCCGGCTCCTGTGAGAAGCTGCCAGAAGCTTCCCCGGCTCCGAGTCGGACCCGCCGCTGGCCCAGGCCGAGGCCGTCAGTGACGGCGGTAGCGCCTCTGGGAGAAGAGAGTTCAGAAGGGGAAAAAACCTGCAGTGAGGGAGGGGATCGGAATGGGAGAGGAACCCCTGTGCAGATCCCGAGGGGAGTGAGGAAGGAGGGGAGGAGGAGCGGGGGAGGAGGGGATGCCCCTGCAGCCCGTGGGGAGACCAGACGGCAGGCTGTCCCCCCCCAGCCCACGGAGGGGAGCGGGGGAGCAGATGCCCCCCTGCAGCCCGGGGAGAGAGGAGCCCACGCCAGAGCAGGGGGACGGATGCCCCCCAAGATGGCCGGGACTCCAGGGGGAAGCCTGCGCTGGAGCAGGCTGTGCCTGGAGGACTGCAGCCCAGGGAAGGGACCCCCGGTGGAGCTGTTCGTGAAGAACTGCTGCCCGCAGAAAGGATGCATGCCTGAGAAGTTCATAGAGGACTGTCTCCCGTGGGAGGGACCCCCCGGTGGAGCAGGGGCCGAGTGAGGAGTCCTCCCCCTGAGGAGGAAGGAGCGGCAGAGACAAGGGGTGAGGAACTGACCCCAACCCCCATTCCCCGTCCCCCTGCGCCGCCGGGGGGAGGAGGGAGAGAAAACCGGGAGTGGGGTTGAGCTGGGAAGGAGGGAGGGGTGGGGGGAAGGTGTTCTGAGGTTTGGGTTTACTTCTCATTATCCTTGATTGGTGGTAAATTAAACTGATTTTGTTTCTTCCCCAAGTTGAGCCCGTCTTTTGCTCGTGACCAACCATTAAGTGGTAAGTGATCCCTCCCTGTCCTTGTCTCAATCCTCAAGCTTTTCTTTGTACTTTCTTCTCTTCAACCCACTGCGGGTGGAGGAATGAGCAAGCGGCCTCGTGGTGCTTTGTTGCCGGCTGGGCTTAAACCACAACACCCACCCATTTATTCAAGGCCATTTTATCCAAAGCCTGGGCATCCAGGACATCTGCAAATGACATCAAAATGCATGCAATGAAGCTAGTCAGGGAATCTGACTAGTCTTTAATTATCCAATTCATGTCATGGTTTAACACAACTAATCCAATTTTTTTTTTTTTAGATGCACAATGTCACTGCAATCATGTAAGAACACCAGTGGATAAGAACAACATACCGAGAGGTTATTTTTGAGAAGAAACAGCTGGATTTTATCACCACAACCTCTAAAGGTTTGCGGTGCTCCCATGACCCTTAATTTCATATTAGCTTAACTCCCAAAGGACTTAGTAATTAAGCTAAGAAACAAAATTTTATTGAAGCAATTTATTATGTGCAAATTACATCCAACTTCAGGGACACTAGCCCTTAAGGCCAACATCTGACAAGCTTTTCAGATCCCTAAACGTGGCAGAATTTGTTGTAATTAACAGCAGGACAAAGCAAGCCTGAACTTTCCTTCAAAAGATAAAACATAAGTGCAAATGATGCATTATAATCACACATTATATTGGGGACAGCATTAGTCAATCAAGAACCGAGTACGATTTGGGTTAAACGAACACTAACAACTTGCGTGGGAGCCAAGTGGACTGACTTTCGTGTGGGAGATAATTTCCTAATAAAACATTCTATCTGGCTAAATAACAGATACAAGTGCAGAATGTTTATAATGCTTCTAGTGACCAACCACAGCAGAAGGAAGGAATTGAAGATTATAAAGTGGATCGAGCATTTTTTGTTCTTAAACTGTGACATTGTGGCCCTCCTTCTGCAGGACAAGATTCACCCTAACACAGGACTGAAGGATTCAGTGCAGAATTAGGATTAATGAATGGGGCACAATAGCCTCCAGGAAAGAAACTGGATCCAGTGAATTTTTAATTGCAAATGTTTTGGGAGGGTGTTTTGCTCACTGGGGCTTCCACAAAATTCTACCAGTTTCAACTCCTCACCTTCAAAAGCCAATTAATTCTGTTTTGAATTAACAGCATTACCAGAGAAAGTGAGGGAAGGAGAAAAGCTCCAAAGCATAGACATACCTGTTACTGAGAAGGGACATACAAGTGGCCTCAGACCACCTTCCCCTTAATGCTACCATAGAAGTTCATTCCACCACTCCCAATTGTTTGCCTTGCCCCTTAAGAAAGTTGTGACAGTGGCGTTACACTTAAATAGATATTCCAGTTTTCAATTACTAATGAAGTCTATTTTTATATGCACTTTAAATACAACAGCAATAAAGTAGCTCAGATTTCAACCTCCTACATCAGCTCTCC